AGCTTGATGTCTAGGAGTTATTGTTAAAGTTTAAGCAGCGAGTTCTTTTAAAGAAGTAACTCAACTTCAAGAAGGTGAAGTCGTTTTAAGTTTTTTTAGTCACTAGCGCCAGTCCGTTGCCTTTTGAGACAGTTTGAGATAGAGCAGCAGTTATGCTCTTGAGACCTTTAAGATGGGCAGCAGTTATGCCCTTGAGAATGGTGGTGAAGAGCCACCACGATAAGTTTAAGTTCTTAATCCTGGAACCTAAAGTGGTGATAGTTTTATCCTACGAAAAAATTTCCTTTAACCCTAGGCTTTGTGGAGGGTGGAAATATTCTTTACGGAAAGTAAGCTTTGTTCACAAATTTATCATAATCCTAGTCACCCAGTCTCGAACTTTCATTCAAACACCCTCGTCCCATTTCACCAACAATACTGAAGAATATTTCTCTTGTACGATGGCTCATACTTCTCCTTACAATGAACCTTCTCTCATGGGAAATTGAGAAATTCGATGGGGAGCATTTTCGTCGATGGCAGAAGAAGATGCGTTTTCTTCGTACTATTCTCAAGGTGGGGTATGTGATTAGTACCCCATATCTGGAAGGTAACTTGGATGAGGAAGTGGTCAAAATGAGGAAATGAAGAGGCGGCTTCGTAAAATTAAGAGGCGGGAGAATGGCAACTAACTTTGTGTATGGCACACAGTTTGTCGGACTCCCTATTCAACATTTACGTAATGTATGACAATGCCTTAGAACTTTGGAATGCATTAGAGGAAAAGTATTTGGCCGATGATGCATCGACCAAGAAGTTTCTTGTAAGTAATTTCAACACTTACAAAATTAGCGATTCTCACCCAATGATGGAGAAATATAACGAATTGCTCTGAATCTATGGTCAATTTACTCAACACAATCTGAACATGGATGAGGCAATCGTTTTGTCAAGCAAAATCAACAAATTACCACCTTCTTGGAAGGACTTCAAGCTTATGCTTAAACACAAGAAGGAAGAGTTAGATTTAAGCCAACTCGACACCCACTTGCGCATAGAGAGAACCTCAGGGTACAAGAGGGTGTGAAGCCAAACCAATCTTCATCGGTTCACATTATGGAGATTGGAGAGTCATCTTCCCACAAGAAGGGAAAGAAACGTTCTCGTGACAAGGGCTACAACACTTCCAAGGCCAACAAAAACAAGAGTGTTAAACCGAATTGTTGGAAGTGCAGGAAATTGGAGCATTTCAAGCGTGATTTTCCTGTAGAAAAATCAAAGAATAGTGGAAATCATCATGTTGGGCAAGGATCTAACGATGAAGGCCCACAAGGTCGTATTCCCACGTTTAATTTTGAATTTGATCCAAATTCGGGTATTAATTATGTCACTAATTAATGAAGCATATTTTGTATTAGATGATGATGTTGCTTGGTGGGTGGACTCTGGAGCCAACATGCATGTAAGCAAGGATAGTAAATGGTTCAAACTTACAAACCAATGGAAGACGGTTTTGTTCTTCACATGGACAATGAGTCAACTTCTCCAGTCGAGGGACGTGGCATCATGGAGTCGGAATTTATTTCCGGAAAGACTCTTGTACTTAGGGATGTGTTACATGTACCTAATATTAGAAACAATTTGGTTTTTGTCAAGTTTATAACTCTGATAGTATATATTATCTAAATAATAATGGTATGTTGATGATGAATATTATTAATAATATTGTTTCCACTTACATGACTATCCTTATTGATTCGTCTTTATGGCATGCATGGTTGTGGTATGTAGTTTATAAGCGAATGATGACAATGTCTAAAGAAGGACTTCCCTCTTCTTTTGATGCTCAACATGATAAGTGTGAGACTTTTATGTAGACAAAAATCACTAAAAACCCATTTAAAAATGTATAAACTGAGTTCAAGGTGCTTGGACTTGTGCATAGTGATCTATGTGAATTACATAGCACTCCTACTTTAGGAGGGAAGAAATATGGCATCACCTTTATTGATGACTATTCAATGTTTTGTTATGCGTACTTGTTGCAAACTAAGGATGAATCCCTTAGTCAATTTGGTATATATAAAATTGAAGTGGAATTACAACAAGAAGCAAAGATCAAAACTTTGCATACTGATCGAGGTGGTGAATGCTATGATCCAGCTTACTTCCATAGTACGTGGATCATACATGAAACCTTTGCATCGTTTACCCCTCAACAAAATGGAATAACGGAGAGGAAAAATCAATCTCTAAAGGAAATGGTCAATTCCATGCTTTCTTACTCTGGTTTGAGTAATGGGTTTTGGGGGGAAGCCATGCTAACGGCTTGCTATTTATTAAATAGGGTTCCCAATAAAAGGAATATTACTAACCCCTATGAACTATGGTATAAACGAAAGCCAAACTTGGAGTATCTTTGAGTTTGGGGTTTTGGGGCAGACGTTAGGAGATAGAGACATTGATTGCATCTTTGTAGGATATGCCGAAAATTCTAAGGCATATCGGTTCTATGTTATCGAACAACATGATGCTTACTCAATTCTTTCTATAATTGATTCAAGAGACACCATCTTTGATGAAAATAGATTTTCATCAATGAGACTACCAAAGGACCTAGTTCCTCATGTGCATGAGAGGATTGGGGAAGATACTTAGCAATCGACTCTAGCCATTATTCGTCAAAGTAAAAGAAGAAAGATTGTGAAATCTTTTGGAACAGACTTTCACATGTATCTTGTGGAAGGATCTAGAGAGGAAGTATACCCTCAATATTTATATTCAATTCATATTGAGGATGATCCTAAAGCTTTTAATGAGGCTATGAAGTTTCGTGATGCTGCCTTTTGGAAGAAAGCCATTAATGATGAAAAAGATTCCATCATGGGGAACAACACAAGGGTGTTGGTAGATTTACCACCTGGATGCAAACTTTTGGGTAGTAAATGGATCTTCAAAAAAAAAGTTGATGGGACCATCGATAAGTTTAAGACGCATTTGGTAATCCAAGGTTTTAGACAAAAACATAGGATAGATTACTGCGATACTTATGCGCTTGTTGTTTGAATCTCCACCATTAGATTCTTGATTGCTCTAGCGTCAATTCAAATCAGTTGGATCTCAAGACAACGTTCTTGAAGGGAGATTTGGATGAAGAGATTTACACGAAACAAACCGAAGGATTTGCTGTGCCTGGTCAAGAGCATAAAGTGTGGTAATTTATCAAATCTTTGAATGGACTTAAACAAGCTCCAAAACAATGGCAACACAAGTTTGATGATATGGTTTGTCTAGTGGTTTTAAGTTAACCAAGCTGAAAAATGTGTATATACAAAATTCGATGATATCGGCAATGGATTCATCATATGTTTGTATGTAGATGACTTGCTTATCTTTGGTATCAATCACACACAAGTGGACCTCACTAAGGCGTTTTTTTCATCTAAATTCTCCACGAAGGACATGGGGGAGGCAGATGTATACTAGGTATCAAGATCAAGAGGAGCGACAAAGAAGTAGCCTTGTCTCAATCTCATTACATTGAGAAGGTACTTGCTACTTGCTAAATTTCATAGTTAAGGTTGTCGTGAATTAAAAACCCTAATGGATCCAAGTATGAAACTTTTTCCTAATACCAGGCAATCAGTTTCACAATTGGAATACTCAAAGGTTATTGGGTGCTTGATGTATGCAATGACTTGCACAAGACCAGATATAGCATATGCGGTAGGAAAATTAAGTCACTATACGAGTAATCCTAGTGCTCATCATAGGCATGCAATGAGGCGTGTCCTAGGATATCTCAAAAGCACAATGCATTATGCATTGACTTATAGTGGATTTCCATCTATTTTGGACGGATACACTGATGCTAGTTAGATTTCTGATGTTCAGGATCATACTTCAACATCGGGATGGGTATTCTTGCTTGGGGGGAGGTGCCATCTCTTGGGCTTCTAAAAAGCACACTTGCATCACAAGTTCCACTATGGAGTCAGAATTTGTAGCCTTGGCTTTTGCTGGAGGAGAGGCGGAATGGTTAAGAGACTTGGTTTATGACATCCCTTTCTGGCCTAAACCAATATCAACAATTTCTTTCCTCTGTGATAGTAATGCTACTTTGCCTAAGTCATATATCCAAATTTATAATGGCAAGTCTTGCCATTTAGGAGTCAGACATAGTAGAATTCGTGAATTGATCACTCATGGAGTTGTGTTTATACAGTATGTCCAGACTCAAGAGAACTTAGCCGATAAGTTGACGAAAGAGTAAGATAGAGACTTAGTATTCAAGTCTATGAAGAGGATGGGTTTAAAGTCCATAAAATTTCTGATCATGGAACACCCATTTCCCCTTTAATAGAATGTTAGAGGCTGAATTCAATGAGGAAAGCTCATTATCAGAAATTTAAGCACACAATGCATCATCCAGAGGTATGTGCTTGTTGTCCTACATGAGAGAAGATGATGAAGTTTTAACTTCTTAATTGAATATTTGACAAGGTGTATTATGCATATATACAAATAAAAGATTCAACCTATGTAAGTATGAAGTGTAGCCGCTTCAAAAAACCCGGACTTTGGTTTCATGTGCGCTTATTTGAAGGATTGGACACATGGTGGATAATAGTGTCAAGGTGACTTGGAAGTTTGTAAAACTTAAGTGTATATTATCTTCAGATACTCATTTGAATAGATGGGTTCAATCGTTACCGACACCCTTGTATTCGAATATTTGTCAAGTGTAATATACTGAAATGAAAATTCATTCATCACGATATTTTAATTTACATTTAAGTTTTATTGGAAAATGTTGAATGTTATAATTTTAGTGAATTTATGAAATACACTAAAATGGGAGTAATGTTGGATATATTATTTGGTAATTTAAACGGTTATATGAATAATAGCACTTTTGGATTGGTTTGACTTTATTAAGATACTAATCACTATCAATTTATGTAACATTTAAATTGAGTTTAAATTGAAATTATAAAAATTCCATGCAATGCAACTTTTAAGCCTTCAATTTGGTAATTGCGTGAGGCCACCTAATATTGGGAAGAACAAGTCCCTTGCTAATGGTCATGGAAATTGCGATTTGCTTCAAATGATGCAACTCTTTGTTCATGACTCTCATAATCATAGTCATAGTCACCAGATCTCAGACTTTCATAAAAACACCCTTGTCTCATTTTTTCCAACAAAAATTGGGGAGGGAGATTGAGAAGAAGGCGGATGCAGTTTTCGTTTTTCTGGTAGATAGAGAGACGGTGAAGTTGGAGGAGAGAAATGAGATAAGAGGAGCAGATAGATGGGGTCGAAATGAAAAGAAGAAGAATTAGAGAGTAACGAGAGGGAGGAGGAGGAGCATTAGAGTGAGGCGGCTAGGGTTTTTCAAACACCCAGCTCGTTCATTTTATAACTTGCCCCGAGAATGACCAAAATGCCCCTCAACTTAACCCAAAACAACCTGCAACCATCCTTGAACCGGTTTCAAAATATGAAAATACACAAAAAAAATTACTTACCACTGTTACCATTATAAATTGGATTCTTCTTTGTCGCCTTCTTTGGAAGGGGCGGAAAAATGTAGTTTTCTCCCCCTTTGCCCAATAAACCATCCCTATCCTCCTCCGCCAGTTCCTCCATCATCAAGCCTCCAACAATGACGCAGTTGCGGTCGTGAGTGCTCCACCATAGTTACCAGCTCCTCCAACTCGCCTTCTACATTAAGACATCCTCCGCAGGCACCGCGACATTCGGATTGCGGTGGATGGTGCTACTAGGTTTCCCACAGCGGGTGCAATTGGGCTGGTTGGCTTTCATGGTGGTACCCCGTCTTTTGCTTGTTGTGCTTTCATTACGGGCATTTTCGATCCCGGTTTGATTGAACTTTTGTCTTTTCGGCGTTATACTTGATTCAACGGTGGCAATGGATTGATCGAGATGTGCTACTCACGGGGGAATTTCACGGTGCCTCCTCTGATCTTCCTCGTCGTCAACATCGACGTCCCTCTCAGATCGATCGTGTCCATCTCCTCGCTCGATTTCGCTCTGATTCTCTCCCTTGTTCTCGTCGGCGATCGAATTCACTTCCTCTTCTTCCTCGTCATCTTCGTCCTCTTCTTCTTTGCCTTCTTCTGCATCCTCAGCCTCTTCTCCTCCGTTGTCCCATCCATCAAGGTCAATTCAGAGGAAATCGACCTCCAATTGAGGAGCGTCGCGGCGGTGGTGCGAAGGCAGGGGAGGAAAAAAATTATCGGCGCTTCGTCGTCGTCCTCCTCCTCGTGAGCGGCTTGCATGATTCTGTGAAGCGTTTGGAGGAACTAAGATCCAAAAGTTTCGTCAGAGGGATCGGATATCAAGGAAGGAGTGGCGGAGATGGACAACGGGGTGGAAGGGCCAGCTGGGATGGATTTGAAGAAGCCATTCTTGCAGTCGAGGCATATGGGCAAAACTACATCGTTTTGAGGTCGGTCGGTTAGGCGTTTAACTAGATTTGGTTACTCGGCTAACCAAAGCACCACCAACCTCCTCCGACACCCGACCGCATCCATTATTATGCCGGTTTTTGGTTGGCCGCTAACAAGCGGTTCATGGTTAGACCGGCCTATTAGCCGCTAACCGGCAACCGAAGTGACAGTCCTATTCAAGGTTGTCAAACCGGATTAACACTTCAAGCCATTTTGATAAGGGGTTTGAGGTTTAATGGTCAGATCGGGTTTCAATCGCTTTAAGCCGGTTTTAATGTAATTTTATTAGTTTTTTAGTATAGATTGGGGTCATTCCCCCTGCAAACCCTCTTCTATTTCCTTCAATAAAGCCCTCTATTATTTTTTCCTTTCCTTTCCAGTTGTGTTGATTGTGTTTCCACTTTCCATCCTTCCTTTCTTTCGATTTTTGAAGTTTCTACTTCCTCAAATGGCCGAATTGTTCAGTAGATCTTGGCCGATCCAATCAATTGGTTGATTGTGTTTCCATCCTCCCTTGTCTTTCTGTTTTTTACTTCTCCTTTTCCTTCCTCCTATGGCCGACTTGGTAGAGCAGATCTTGGTAGCAGGAGATGCGGCGACGGAAGATGTAGCAGCTGTCAAACCCTATCCGACCAGAAACGATCAGAGCTAGCAACGGGGAGCTAGATCGACGTGACGGGGAGCTGGGTCGAGGCGTTCGGCGGCGAGCGGTGTCAAAGAGGCGCAGAGCTGGGGCAAGACGAGGAGGCGAGGATTTCCAGCAAGGCGTTGCGAGGGGAACGCCGGCGGCGAAGCTTGGGGTGAGAATTGATTAACCTCATTTTGTTATCATTATTCTTATGTATAATTTATTTTCTCTAAAATTTCGTTAAAACAAAGTCATGGTCAATAGACCCTGATAATCGTTCATAAAGAAACTCTTTAAAATCTTTTAATCACTCAAATTTCATATAAAAGGATCAAAATATTTTCCTCAATAAAACTCAATATCAAACCTCAAACACGTATTTATAGAACGTGTTATGTTCTTTTTTGACAAAACCTTCTCAACTTGTTCAAACTACGTGGACTTTGATCCCGATTCTCGAATACTCGATTACGTAGGCAGCCAATAGGTTTGAGTCCAACTAATCAAAAACATTTTCATTTCTCGAGATGTACATCAATAGACGTAAAACCTCATTGTATACCAATAGGATATGAAAATATTTTTAATTTGATAGTCCAATAAGACTTTAAAATACATCATTAACAATTTAAAACTCAACCATACAAGACTCATCGATTTAACTAGTACCGATTTAGGGCATCGGGGGTGTGATTACACTTCCCCACAATAAATCGTACTACCAAACCTAGAATCCTAAATTGCAGAGACCAAATCCCGATTTTGACCCTAAGGTCGAAACCGACAAAATATTGTTCGATCCACTACAAGTAAGAACGATGACGACTCCAAACATTATGCAGTCGGCCCCTGATTTTCTGGGGCGATTGCGACACTAGCGGCTCCGGTGGGGACATTTTGAGAGTCGAGCTACATTAACTAAGTCGTTATGTTTACTATGTGTATAGTGGACCTACATGCGAAGCTACACCTACAAATTGGAATTTCATGGAACGGATGGAGCATAAATGGACGTCTCAAGAAAGGAGAGGCAATGGTAAAAGCAATCAGCTTGGAGGGTACTTGGCTCAAGCCAAGTCGACCAGAACAATAAGGTGAGTGGTTTAAGGGGGTAAATTCTACTCCTTACGTGTTTGAAGTATTTTGTGAAGTGGTTATCAATGTTTGATTATGTTTATGGTTAACGATGTGTGCTCTATTTGAGTCATAGTTTGAAGTACATCTTTATAAATTTTTAATATGTATTTGAGGCTTTACGTTTATGTTTTATTACAGAAATTTGACTGATCTTTAAAGAAAAATGTTTAAGAGGTATTTCACCACTAAATAAATTAGGGTGAAAAGTTTAAGATGTAGTTCACTAACGCTAGTCCCCCGCCCTAGTGAAAGGTAAAGGAAGAGCAACCTATGCTCTTAAAGATCATGGGGACGAATCAATAAGACTCCCATGATGTTTAACGGATAAAGGATTGTGGGGATGTATTAATAAGACTCCCACAAAGGTTAAAGTTTAGGCTTAGTTTGGGCCTCATATGTATGAGCTGGATGGCTGGACTAGTGAGTGATGGGATCCCAAAGTTGGTCAAAGGTTTAAGATTTTGAGGGTGGCGAGTAATACCAACTCCCACGTTTTTAAGAGTTGAAGTTCAAAGGGTGGAAGTATAAACAAATTCCACAAGTTTTGAGGTGAACATCTAAGGAAATAACCTTAGGTGATTCCAGTTTAAGTATTGGCGTAGACTGACACCAACCCAGTCACTAGGTCATACAAGAGGACCGAGAGAGCAGCAAGTTGTAGAGCGAGCAGCTAGAGGAGGACAACACAAGCATCACGAAGGACGTCAGCGATCGTATCGGAGCATCCGCATAGATTTTTAGTTATGTACTTTACTTTTAGTAGTAAGACTGTATATTAAGAGTTTTGAGATTAAGATTCTACGATTTAAAGTTTGCCCAAGTGTTAGATGCCCAAGTGTTAGAACTTTATTTTAAGTTACGCTGACTTTTATGTCCACTATTTTCTTTATTTCAAATATTATTATTTATCAACGGCAGTTTGGTAAGAATTAGTGATTGGTCGAGATAGGGTGTTACAGAGATTAAGTCAGAATGGAAGAACCATGGAACTCAAGGGGTTGGGGAAAAAAAGCAGCCAGGATGATGTTGTTTTGCACAAAAATGTTATTGCTCAATCCAAGCTTGCTAAGTACCAAAGTACGAAGCACAAACCCCCTTATGTGCATAAAAAGGGATATATGTGTAATGTGGCGTGAAAAAATCATCTTCATACGAAGGACACTTCAAAATACTTACATGGGCAAGAATGCAAATAAAGCTACATAGCCTTAGCCCGAATCTTTGCAAAAGAAAATTTGAGCAAGAAAAAGAGAACACCATCTCGTGAGAGACGAATCATTACGTCCTTACGAAGTATGTTTTGAGTATCATTGCGATGAACAAAGTTTCTAATTGAAAGGGTTGACCTTGAAAGCTTCTTATGACCCACGTCCTCGGATCGGAAGTCATGTGTCATCGTAGAGGTCTAGTGTCAAGCCTATGTAAAATGAGCTATTCTAGACCCTCGTATTATGATCCAATATGAGTGCATTGCATATCATTATAATCATATATAATACCTTGGATTTGTGCTATGATTGCTTCAAATATGTTTTAGCAACCCTATGATTGCTTTTGCGGGTTTGATGCGCTTTTGGTAGCGGTTTGTGCATTTATAATTCAAAGTACAGTTGTGGACCATTTGGTAGTCATAGGGGACATTGAGATCTAGTTGCTGGAGCTAGGATTCGAATAGAGGACTCACTTAAAGAATGGAGCCAAAAATGGCGTCCCAAGAAGGAAAATGGCACCATTGCCGCCATTTTACAAAGCTGCTCAACTTGGTTAGAAAGTTACCTCAAAGCTTCCTGATTCGTTGGCTATGTGTTTAGAGGCTTGTGATTGGCTGAACAAAACAAGAGCTGCAAGTTTTCCTCCCTAGAAACCCTAATCGAAGACCTATAAATAGACCTGGATCATGATAAGGATACATGACTAGCATACCTAGGGGGATCTTTTCTACGCAACGCCTTCCTTCTATGTTCTCTCGTCCATCCAAATTAGTTATAGATTTACTTTTCCGCACTTGTTATTTCCTTTTTACTTTTTTTTTTTTTTTTTTTTGCAAAAACCTGAGCCACCTCAACCTCCAACATAGTTTTCTAAAACAATCGAACCGTACCTCATTGCCGAAGTAAGGGTTCTGCGAGAGGCCCTACGAAAATATGATCATGGGCTTAGGGCAAGGTCAATTGGCTATGTTCTACAACGAATCATTTATATGAATCCTTGAGGGTTTTGGGCTTGATTGAACCTTGTTTGATAAATGAATTCCTCCTTGATCTTATTTTAATTTTCCCCTTTCATCCTCCAACTTGATCCAATGTGATCCAAATTATCTTATATTGCATTTTACCTTAAAAATAACAAAACAGTACCGAACAGTCATACAAAGATATTAAAACACGATCTAGGTCTCTTATAAGCTTATTGATCAAATAGTTAAGAAATTCATGTCTAATATATCAAATGGTACTAAAGATGCATTGATAGAACGGAAAATGATGTATCAAATAAGGGAGGTGATAAACACTATAATTTGAGTGTCATCTATTGATTTCTTTGGCGTTCTCTCGGAACGATCTTGTTTTCATAGCTATTGTGGAATAACCTAATAATCTAGCGCAAAAAATCCTTTCCTAGGAGAAAATACCACAATATAGTACAGCAAGATAGCACATTATATCACTTGGGAGATTGGGGTATAGTAAAAGCGCTATCGTGGTCGAAGATCAGACCCGATAGGGTGGATCACACTGAACTCTGATGGTTTGATTTTGCGACAATTCGGGTCAACCGTCATTGGAAGTGTGCTTAGAGACTGACGGGTTGTTTATTGAGGGCTTACACAATGAATATTATAAAATCTATGATCACTCAAATGGAATTTGGGCGATAGTCAAAGGCTTGGAGCTCGCATGGGATGCAAGATACCGACTAGATGTATGGATCAAACCTTCTATTTTCGCCACACTCCTCTTAGCAATAGGAGATTTTCACAACCAGCACGCAAAAGGACTCATTATGTTTGCATTTTATGATTTTCATATCAAACATTGGTCTATGTATGATCTTGTTGGGAGTTCTTTCCCTAGATTGACTAACGAGTAAGAGGTATTGTTGTTCTGCATTCATTTTTCACCAAAAAAATACATCAATATCACCTTGATTGTGTCCAAGGTAACTAATGCTCCTATAAGACCAACTCAATTGTAACAATTAAATAATTAATTTGAGTTGGATTTGTGTAGCTATATTTTTTAAGCCAAAGAAGCTAAGTACAACAGGAGCATGACTAAGAGTCAATGGGAGATGGCCTTCTCGTCAAGGACCATGCCACAATAACACAGTTTATGGTCCTGAGGCCGCACACGAAAATGACCATGGGCATGCGTTAAAAAAGGTGTGGCCTTCTTACCATGTGGAAGCTAGCTCCTCGCCAGGTCTTAACCGAGCAAAGATGCATCGGGAAACGACCATAGCTGAGAGATGAGACGATCATAGGCTCCCCATGAGTCCTGGCATGGCACGAGATCTCATCACAAAGGCATGAAGTTTGAAATGTGGCAAAGTAAAGAAAGCTACACTTCAAGACACATGACAATTGCTAGGGGGGTTGAGGGAACAACTATCACTCATCATGTGTTCGAAGACACACAAGCCACGTCCGAGTAAGAGGGCAGTTCTTTGTAGCAGTTCCCAATGTGATGATTCTCTATTGTTTTTATCACCTGTGGCTATAAATAAGAAGAGTCATCAAAGGGAGGGGATTTTTTTTTAATCATGCACATGACACCTACGTTAAGTTTTTATCAGTCATAGTTTGGAACTCTTTACTGAACTTCCATTAAAGATAACTTAATGTAGTTGTGTTACCAAAAAAACAATTATAAATCAAATACCTTCATTTAAATTATATATAAAGAGATTTGAGTTGTGTCTTAAAATCGTCAAAAAAAGTGAAGGTACATTAATCATGTTCAAACAGGAAGAATTTATCGCCTGAAAACACAGAATATCTTGATCACATTGTGTGTTTTACTGTTCCTTAGCTTGTTGAAGTCAACTAATTGTACAATGTCTATTTTCGGGTCTTGATTAGAGACACTGGTAAATTATTAAACATTACTCTGCGTTTGAACACCCTCTTCCCCAAATCATCGCAACACTAACAAAAAAATCAAATCTAATAATTAACAGGATGGAAAGATTATGCTGATTTTGACAGCAGCACAAGATGCAGCCATCACTCCCATCTCAAACACCCGAAAAATGATATGCCTCGGAAACACATTCTACACTCTATCATCAGCCACAGACACAGACGACTCTCCACTGCCACTGATCAACACACAAACCTCCGCACCATCATCTTCAGCTTTACTCGGAGCAACAGCGTCAGCGGAATCTGCCGCGGCGGCAGCAGCAGGAGGCAGGGGAGCTGCCGGAGCTCGGCAGATGGGACAATTGGAGTGAGAAAGAAGCCACATGTCTATGCAGTCAACGTGAAAACCATGTCCACAACCAGTCAAGCACCTCCCAACTTCCCCATCGCCAAAGCTGCTCAAGCAAATCACACACTGGTGTTGGTACTTAACATTCACAACAACGCCACTCTTGCTCACCTGCTGCTCCTCTATCCAACCCTCACCACCACCGCTGCTGCTACTACTCCGACGACTCCTGCTGTTGATGTACACGAACAACGGAATTGCAGCAATGACGGACGGGTTGAGACCGCTGCCGCCACCACCACTGGCTTGATCGCCTTCTTCGTGGTCTGCGGTGGCCAGGGGAGGATGGGTTTGGAAGTGATAGCGGTAGTTGATTACGGACGGCGGCTGCAGGGTGAGCGAGGTGATGACGGTGGTGGTCCTCATCCGACGGGAGAGGTACCATTTGGCGTAGATGTGAAGGAGCAGGACGAAGAGGATGACTAGTAGCAACGAGATGAAAGCGGCCAGCAGCAGGTTGCTGCTGTCGTACGATGAGGACGATATGCTGCTGAGTAGATCGCTCATCGATCTCTAACTAAAACTAGTGCGGGGTTTGAAGAGAAGCAAGATTCAAGAGTTGCGTAGATGTAAAAAATATATGGTTGTGCATGTGAAAATGGGTGGGGGGCGTTACGTGAAAATGAAGTTAGAAGAAGTTTGACTAATTGATTGGGGAAAATATTGCGGGATATGCGTGGCAGTGCGTAGTGCAGGGAGAACACGGAGTCTGGAACTGAATTTGGGGAAAGAAAACCCATTTGTTTATTGCGTGGGTGAAGGGACGAATTCCTGTATTCAAGGGATTGGGGAAGAAAGAAAAGGGAATCAAAGGAGGGAAGAGATTATCTGATTATGGCAAACAGGGCCGCAAAATGAAAGACTCGTGAAGGCGACGGCAAGCCCTTCATCTCATTCTCACCCACCCTCAAGTCTCCCACGATACCCGTGAAGAAGACTCATCTTTGGATTCATGTGTGCGCTTATTGTACATTTCAGACTCAGAAGCTGTAACAATAAATAATCTCTCCTACCTAACATAGATGACAACGGCTATCTGCAATCTCATGCATCAAAATGCTGCACAACTCGGTTATCCTGCTTTTCAGTATGGGGATGGTTTCACTTGTACAGTTTGATTGTCCACTTCAGCCCTTAGATTGACAGGGATTCCTAACAAAAATGTCACAGCATTGATCCAAGAACCGACACAGTTGTTGAATTAGGAAAGAAGATCAAGAATCGATGGAGAACGTTGGTTAGTTGGCTAAGGTACATCCCGACCAAATGCTAACATTTACCAACCATCGTTGTTTCAGTGCAGTAGCTGGCCTGAGTGCTCATTCTCAACAAAGCTCCAGCAGCGGAGGGTCTCACTTGAAATCACAACAACGCTTCCAAGCGAGACCCTTCGGTTGGCACTTCGTTGACAAACACTCAGCCGCCATCGATGCTTGATCTCCCTTCTTTCTTTCTTTCTTTCTTCATATGGCGATCGTGCCTATTATCAGTTTCCCGGCAGACACGTCCAAGGCCTTATGAGATGATGAGATCATATATAGAAGTGACTTTACAAGGGTTTGGTCGGGTTGGTAGGCAAGAGAATTGGCTACTTCTACCATACATTTTATGCATCTTTACCTTTTTTTCCTGTGATATGATCGTGCCAATATTGCGTTTCAGTAACAACAGGAATGAAAATTTACAGCGACAGTTACCAGTTCTGTGTTTCTAGGCTACAAACACAATTTTCAGTCCATGAGTTTGTATCTTTTCTCTTGCACGCCAGTAACTCCCATCTGTATCTCGATGATTGTATGCAGTGGCATCTAAAACAACCAACAGTCATGGAAACCGGAATGTTAGCTTAACAACAAACTACTCGAAACGAAATGTGTGTTTAACTTTGAACAAAAGAATGAGGAATACAGTTCATCTTACTACTTGGCGTATCCGCTAGATTACCTCGATATGTGGAATTTCTTTCAAAGGCCTATCAGCAAAATAAGCATACAGAGCCCTCAGTACTGCCTGCAAATATAACGAACCAGCCGTTAGTGTCCGAAACCCAGTCAGTAGTCACTAACACAAAGTAGTGTCTGAAAAAGTTTGAGATGCATAACCTGGTGAGAGATAACCACAACAGGTGCCCTTTGTCTCTCGAGTTCAATGATTACTGGCTCCAACCTGTGGTATATCCCGAGTGGACGGTAAGCTTGTTGTTTTCAACCAAAAGTGAGTAAGTAGTGCTGAGAAGTAACACTAAATGGCCAGAACATAAACCTCTGAATGACGTCCAGATAGGATTCTCCACGCGGATACCTGTACCTCAACTTATCCTTCTTCCGGGACCTGATAGTTAGGGATACACAATAAGAGAAGTAAGAATGGGTAGGAATCCTTAGTCATGCAGGTCAGTCAAGTAAGAACGTTAGAGAGTGTCGGATTAATGAACTTACTCGTACTCCTCTGGCATGTTCCTCTTTATTTCCTCGTATGTCATTCCATCACACACTCCAGAATTTATCTCATCCAGTGCACGCCATTGGATCTAGGTGAACAAAAAGTGAGACTTATACTATCATATGATATTAGCATGAAAACACTTGTTTTGGTTAGAATAGCAGACAGTGGATAATCTTGTTTAATTTTCTTGTGTACCTTGGGAAACCCAACAATTGGACCTGCTGTTAGGATTGTCCTCTGCAGTGTGCTAGTCCAAATCTAGATCACAGTTAAGCGTGCAAGTTAACAATTAATCATTGAATTTCTGAAAATCTTTTATGTGACAAACAATGGTATCATAGTCAGTTTCCACGATTCGAAGCGCATTTCACCATGCTAGGAAAAATAGGTTATTGATGATCAAAGAAGCTTACAGAAGCTGCTTTCTCAGATTTCAGTCGCTTTTCGACAAAGTTTGAAAGCTTCTTGGAATATATTTCTCCAGTATCACTACAAGAGAGGGAAGGTCAAGTAAATTCTGTTTACTATGAACATCAATAGTTAAAACACATTTCCCTCAGCAGATTAGGGAAAGGGATATATAGACTTGGGCAACATGGATAAGATAAGCTGAAAAGAGAAATAAAAAATGAAAATGAATATAGGACAAGATAAGATACCTCAACAAAGAATCACCTCCAATTCTACTCCTAACATTGTATCGGCTTTCTCCATGCCTTGTAAGTAATATTGGACGAGGCGTGAGATGCATATTCACCTGTAAAAGAATATTTGAACCCACAGTTTAATATTCTTATGACAATAACACTGACCAAACACAGTAATCATGTCGTGATGGATGAAAATTTCTTAGGCCATTATCATGTCATGTTAAGTAATATAGTAAGACAACTGCTCTACATCTTCACAAAAGCATAGCAACTTACCAGAAAGAAGACAATGCGTCCCGGAAGGTAGCCACTTATATTGTTCACCTGGAACGCAAAGAAGGCTGATGAATGAATCTCATCCAATCAAAAAAGAAACTACAAACGTCTGAACACATCAATAGACCTTTATACATGTGCTGTGAGTAGCAACGGCTGTGAGTAGCTACTATGAAATTATGAAAAGAGGCGGGTGTGTCAAGTTTAGCATACAAAATGCACGACCATCTAACCAATTTAATACAAACAAAGAATGGTTGAGAAATTTTGCTGCAACCTATATGTGGAAATGCAGAGACTATGAATGCTGTAGAAGATTTTGTGAAGTTGTGTTTCTCCTATACGTTAATTAAGCAAATGATAGTCAAACTTTAGCAGGTCCAATGAGCTGCCTCCAGCCTCAAGTGGTCTATTCTTGTCAATCTACATCTTCTTATTCTCAAGTCTCAACTAAGTCGTTCTATAGTTCTATTCATAAACATTCAAGTATTGACCAAGGGAAATAAGTAATATAAAAACTGGAATAAAATTAATTTGATTGAAATCCATTTGGGGGAATGCCAAGGTGCTCTATTTGTGCTTAAGATCAACATAAAGATTGAAAAAATAGGGAAATGAGCAACTTATGATTTTCTGATCAGGAGAACAGGCATATGAGGAAAGCATACCTGGATTTGCCCACCATTACCACTGACCATGTCTATCATTTTAATGTAAGAACCTTCTTCAACTGGTTCGTAGACCTACCAATAAAAGAAAACATATATAATTACTTGTAGTAAACACTAAACAGTAATGCAGAAGTATGTACAATTAGCAGCCAAACCCACCTTTTCATAATTATCTAGCCGACTTTTGAAGTCTTCATATCCAGCTTCAAAATCGGGCCTGAAAAACACCAGTTGAAGTTTTTATCCTTTCCAGATATAATATACCAATAAATTCAGTTTTACGTACTGTTCAGAATAGTCAGGGCTTTGCTGGATTTTAAGGCGAATGTTCCTCTCAATAATGCGTTTATCATTGCATAAAGTTTCCAAAAATATAATCTGCATTGAGAAAGCACATGTAAGAAGATAATCAATTAATTTCAAGTAAAGGACGTCCTCATGATCCAAATAACAACACTAAATAGTAACTAGCTTTGTCCCCGGCCTGTTGGCCGGGATTGTTCTTTATCGATGGTCCGGTGCTAAATTTTATTGATTCCCAATCCAAAACACTGGACATACAAATTATTAAGGATTCGTCCGTTGACATGGTCCTTTATGGTATACTTCCAAACTGTATAACATGTAGTTTGGTTGAGAGCGTGTCTATAACACACCAAAGATTTCCAGTATATTTTAAACTGTGTCACTTTAATAGTAAATTCATATTTGTTTGCCAATTGACGTTCTCATAAAAGTGTTCAAATTATTATAAATATCGTGAAATTTAAGATTTATCCTAGGCAAGCATCTATTCCTAACACCTAAACATATATTACATTACATATAAAAGAGTTGAGTTTATTTTAACCCTAATTAAATTATTTTTCACATCACTAAGTTATAAGTTTGATTCCAACGCACAACACCATCCGTTTTTTTAAATAATTGTAGGTCGAAAATTGCTTTCACTAAATATTATTAGTATTAATTGAAAAAATGAAAGAACCCGCATAGAAAGAAAGTTTAACTGAAAAGGGAAATAAAAATGCGAATGAGTAGTGGCTGGCGGTTGGAAAAGAAAAAACAACGAAAATTACGGGGAGCCGTGGAAGGCTGATGTGGCACGGGTGGTATTCTAAAAATGCTTTAATATATTTTGATTGAAGAGATTAACAGTTACGACGCTACAAAAAGGAGAAATCGTACGCATGCTCATATGCATTTGTTCTCTAATAATCCTAGCTTAATCATCATGTGATCATTTCATTGTACCTTGCAATTTCCTTCAGCCATTTTCATCAGCATGTTCCTTCTTTCCCTGGTACTGTTTGTGGCATCAAATATTCCTACCTACAAGTGCGTGAAAAAATGAACTATTAAGAAAAAGTATAAGCAAAAGAACTTATCTTACAATCTGAAACAAGCCAACATACCTGCCCACCTTCTTGCATCCAAGCAATCATGTCTTCCATTGCTAGTGCTGCTACCTAGTAGCATGTGATACAATTAAACTATGTAGAAAGCAGACGGTTAATATGGTGATGCAATAGCCAGTTCACTAAGGAAGAATAGAACTCAATAGTTTAAGGTTTAGTTTGAATGGACAGCTTAAAATCGTTTTCATCCAATCACCCAAACTCCACTGTTTCAAGAATCATTTTAA